CTTCCGGGCTGGGTGGTTTGGGGCCACCTCGCTGAACCTCAGTTTCCTCATCTGTAAAGATGGGGGTGATGGGGATGGTTCTGAAGGTCACACGGAATAATGCAAGCCGAGGGCCGGCACAGAGTGGGCGTCCGCTGTTCCAGGACCCTGCGAGGCGATGACACCGGCCGTGCCCAGCGCCCGGGCCAGAGAGGCTCACAAGGAGACGAGATTCACTCCGCACTGCACTCACTCTACCCTGCGTACGCTCTTAGCCAGTCGACAAACCCCGCACGGCTGGCTGACCGTGCACCTGAATTACAGGCACACGGACCGCACAGAGAGCAACACGCCTGGGTGGCTGCTCAGAGCGCAAGCGTGGCTCTTAGACTGACTCGGGCTGAGGGCAGACGTGGGGTCGGTGCCCAGCCCTACACACTCACTATCCAGTCTTGGGCGGGTCACCCCTCTGCTCTGAACCTGCCCAGTGAAAGCACGGATGAATCCGTTCTCAAGGCCCTGGCAGTCCGGCCAGTCAATGAACCTAGAATTTCCCCCCGCAGGAACATGTCTTGCGAGTGTCACTAGCGATGGATGAGAAGCAAGGCCTGTTTTCTTGATCTGGGGTTTTCCTAAATCAAGTGAAACCGGCCAGTCTCAGAGCTTCCTTCCAGAGCGTCCCCAAGCCCGGAGCGGCGGCCCAGACCAGGCATGTGCAGAGAGGCGTGGGGGAGAAGCTCAGAGGCCTCACCTGGAAGAAGGGGTGGCTCTTGACTTCCTGCGCCCCCTGAGGCCCCGCACCCAGCCGCTTCTTGGGGTCCTTGCAAAGGAGCCGCTGCAGCAGGTCCTGCGCCACGGGCCCGATCCGAGAGGGGAAGGGAGGGGAGCACTTCAGGATCCGTCTGGGAGGATTTGGGGGGCGTCAGGGGCAGCGAGCCCCCCCCACAGCCCTGCCCAGCCACCTCAGCTGCCCCCCGCCCACACCCAGCCCCACTCACCGGGACACCTCCGCCTGCGTGTTCCTCTCGCCCTCCAGGGTGAAGGGCGAGGCCCCCGTCAGCAGCTCAAAGATCAGGATGCCCAGGCTCCACCAGTCCACGGCCTGCCGGGGCCAAGCCGAGGTGAAGGCCTCCCGTCGCCCGGGCCCCACCCCGCCACCGCCCCCCACTCCCCCGCCCACCCACCTTGCCGTGCCCCGACTTGCTGCGGATGATTTCAGGGGCCATGTACTCGATAGTGCCACAGAAGGAGAAGGTTCGCTCTTTCTGCAGGGGCGGGGGGCGGGGGGGGGGCAAGAGGGCCGATTTGGGTCACCCAGCGGCTCCCAAGGCTCCGAGGAGGGCTCGCTGTGGGAACTTCGTGAACGCAGGGCCTGGGGCTATTTACCTCTGCACCCCGAGAAACACACAGAGCCAGGCGTGGAGGAGGAGGAGACAGAGAGAAGGTGACGTGCGGGGTGGGGGCAGAACGCCGAGGTCGCCTTCACTCACCTCCTCTGTCAGGAACTCCTTGCTGAGCCCAAAGTCCGTGAGGACGACGTGGCCCTCGGAGTCCAGCAGCACGTTCTCCAGCTTCAGGTCTCGGTAGATGATGCCCAGCTGGCAGGGGCAAGAGGGGCTCTAAGGACCCTTCCCCCCAACACCCTCAGCTCCCCGGGTCGCTGCTCAGGACGAGGGGATCTCCAGTGCGGGAGTGGGCCCGGAGCAGACTGAGCCACTGGGTAGGAAAGGCCATTTAGGAGGCAAAAGCAAGGAAGGAGAGCCCCATGGCGGACCCCCTGGGGAGCAGACCCCAAGGTCCCAGAAAGAGGAAACCTGTGTGAAGACCCCCATCTTACAAAGGCTTTGGAAGCCCAGCCACGAGGTCTCCATTTGAGGAAATTCTGTGAACATGGACCCAGGAAGCAACCCCGAGCTCCCTGAGAGGAAGGCTCCTTGAAGGAGGCACCAGGAGAGGAGACCCCACCGGGCAGTGCCGAGGCCTCCCTTCCAGGAGGCCTGGGGAAGCAGCCGCAGTCCCCATGACCCCCGGGAAGCCCAGAGAGAGACCCTGAAGAAGGCCCAGGCCCAGTGCCCATGGCGACAGGCACGTGGCCAGGTGCTCACCCACCTGGTGCAGGTGCTCCAGAGCCAGCACGATCTCGCCCGCATACACGCGCACCTCGGCCTCCTTGAAGTGCTGGCGCTGGTAGAGGTGGGTGAACATCTCGCCACCGTTCACATAGTCTGGGAGGCAGAGTGGAGGTTGGGAAGCATCCCCCATGGGTGGCCCCAGTGGCTTCCTGGCCCCCCGAGCTTGGCAGGCGCCTGTCCTTACCCAGGATGAGGTGCAGCTTGGCGTCGGTCTGGAAAGCGTAGTGCAGCGTGACCAGGAAGGGCGCCTGGCGCACCAGCTCCAGCACCGAGCGCTCGGTGCGCGTGTGCTCCCGCGTCTTGGCGCGCTGCACCAGCGCTGCCTTGCGGAGCACCTTCATGGCGTACAGCTTCCCGGAGTCGTGCCCGCCCGCCTTCCGCACCAGGAACACTTTCCCGTAGGCTGTGGAAGCAAGGAGTGGGCAGAGAGTAGGCGGTGAGCAGGAGGGTGGTGCAGGCTGGTGGGTGTGGGCGCGACGCCAACCCAGGAGGCTGTGCAAATTGGAGAAAGGAGCTGGGGTGAGAGGAAGGTGTGCAAAAAGTTGGCAGAGCTTTCGAAGGAACGGTGTGCACAGCACCAAGAGGATGCTCAGCGAAACCAGGGAGGGGGTGTGCAAACCAGGCTGGGGGGCATGCGACTCCACGAGGCCTGCGGTGCAAGGTGGGGGCGGGGTCCCTGCGGACCTGGAGAAGATCAGGCAGACTGGATGCGAACCCAGGGAAGGGAGGCAGAGGTGCACGCGGACAGGGGAGGCGTGTGCAAACCCGAGCTCGGAGTTTGCAAAGCGGGGGAGAGGGCTGTCATATCAGAACAAGGAGAGGAGCTGTGCAAATCGCCTGGGAGGGCTGCAAGCCCCCAAGGGCATTGACAAATCCAGGAGGCCCCCGTGGGGAGAAGCAGCCCTGACAGTGGGCATGCAAACCCTGGCAGGGCGGGGCGGGGCTGTCAAGGCAGGCTGTGCCAGGAAAGGGTGGGGGGCATTGCCTGTTGCCTGGCCCAGAACCAGGCGGGTGTGCCGGCGGGAGGCCCAGGGCACGGTGCGGTGCGTGGGGCATCTGCCCGGTGGGTGGGGGTCCTCACCTCCCGTGCCCAGCACCTTGAGCAGCTCGAAGTTCTCCACGCTCACCTTCTCCTCATGCCCGGTCAGGTTGGCTGTGGGCACAGGGGGCAAATGAGCCCAGCCAGTGCATGACCCCTCCCCGCGGCCCCGGCTGCTGCCGTCACCCGTCCCTGCAGTCTCCGGCTGCCCCTGTCCCACCTTCGGTGATCTGCAGCTCCACTGCGCAGCCCTCCTCCTCTTCCTCGTCCCCCATGGCGGGCCGGTAGCTGGGGCCCCGCGCTGCTCGGCTCCGGGCGGCGCCGGTTACATGGCGGCTCCGGCCGGGGCGGGCGCTTCCTGGTGCCGCCTCCAGGTCGAGTCGGGCGCCGGCACCGCCTCCCAGCTCCCCCAGCTCCCCGCCCCGCGCGCGGCCTGAGTCAGGCGCTGGAACGTGACAGCGCGACGGCGCGGCTGCGAGTGGGCGGGCAGGGACCCGGCGGTCGCACGCGGGTGCACGGGGCGGACCGCGCGACACTCCCGAAGGCTTTGGAACACCCTTTACGAGCCATGCCCGGGGTCGGTGGACAACCTCGGGCCCCAGCTGGGCAGTCGCTCCCAAGCCGGGCGCCTGCCCCTGGGATGCCGGCGGAAGCCAGCGGCGCTGAGACTCGGAGGAGCCTGTGCCCCTAGGGGGCCCACGCAGGTGCTGTGCAGCCTTCTCACCCGGGATGCACCTCAGGGCAGCCCAGCACCTAATTCTTAGCCACCAGTGAAAGTGAGGGGGTTCATAAAACTCAGAGCCCACCATTTTTTTTTTATCACTCCATGAAGGCTGCAAAGAGGGGAGGGCTTCCAAGCCCCCTGGACAGATCTGCAGCCTGAGGCCACACCACTGTCCTTGTCCAGTGGCTGCCAGCACAGGGCCAGTCCAGCCCCTGTCACTCAAGGTGGCCCACCGCCCTGGGAGCAGCCTAAGAGGGCGTCTGGGTCCTGGAAGCCCCACAGTCCAACCGGGACCCTCTCCCCTGGGAAAGAGCCTTTGGAACAGGTTGGGGGGGTGGGTGTCTAGGAGCTCAGGTGCCCTGCTGACCACAGCCCTGTCTGTGGACTCCCCCCACCCAGGGAGCACCTAGAGGGGGCGCTGAGAGGGTGCTGGAGCCAAGCCCCATGCAGTGGCAGGGAGAGATGTGAGGATCTCTTCATAGCTGACCTGCAAAAGCACCCCAGGCCCCAGCCCCCTGCACAGCCCACCCAGCGCCACACGCCCCACACGTGGTCCTGCCCCTGATGCCCCCAAGCCTGACTCTGTACCCACGCAGAGCCCACAGTAGACCCCCAAAAGGATCATCAGAGCCGCACAGGGGTGGCCTCCTCCACCATCAGGCCCACCGCCCTGGCTGGACTGGCCTGGCCTGCAGTGCTTCGTCCCACTCCCTGACAACGGACAGGGGCCACCACCAGGGCGGGGCAGCTGTCAAACTGCCATCCCAGGGCTTGCAGCTGGAGGCCATGGGGCTCACGCCCACCCCATCAGCCTCTGAAACCGGAGCTCAGAGCAGGCAAGCAGAGCAGCCAGTGTTCCCCCGGGGGCTGCGGAAACCCAGTCAGGATGCTACAGATGGCCCTGGGGAGGCTGGTCCGGCCCCCCCCGCCCCAGCGCTGCCTGCCCCCAGGTTCAGGCCGCCTCACCCCGGCCTGGGCAGCCCCGCCCTGGCCTGGGAAACCCGCCCGCCCGCCCTGGCCGGGGCAGCCCCAGGTGCCTTGACTCACTTCCTGCCACCCAGCCTAACTGCCCTTTTCCTGGATGTCATCCCAGAGGCCCTGTGTCCTTACCACTCCCTGCATCCTTCCGTGACAGCCTCAGTACTAGGTGACAGTCCCCAGGCTGTGGCAGCGGCCCCAGCCCAAAGGAGTGGGGCAGAAATGGTAAGGGGACAGGAAACAGTGAAAGGAGAGGGTGCCAGGGAGGGGAGGGCAGGGCCTCTGGGGTTCACCTCCCCGACCCCAGAGCCCAGACCCCCCTTTGTAAGCAAAGGCTGAGCCCCAATTCAGGCCCCACCCACTTCTGGCTACCCAGACCCCTGCTCCTCTCCCTACCCCACTGGGACCCCACAGGCGAGCCCCCTGGCCCCTGCCCTGCCCTGCGCCGGGGGAGGAAGGCAGTGGCCCCAGACCCCACCAGCCGAAGGCTCTGGACGCAGCCGGCACAGTGCGCAGACTCGGGTGGTTGTGACCCAGCTTTATTCTCGTGCTCCTCGTGTCCCGGCCAAGGCTCAGAGGTAGGTCCAGGCCACAGTCTCCAGGGAATGGTCCTTGGCTCCGGGCCTGGGCCGGAGAGAGGGCTCTCTCGTCCACTCCTGCCTGCCTCTGCCGCCCGGGTCGTCCTCCAGAAACCGCCTCCTCGGCAAGGGCCTCAGGGCAGAGCCGGAGCCCCGGCCAGCAGTGGCTCGTGGGGCACCCCCGTCCCCGCTGCTCGCCGGCCCGTGCCAGCTCCATCTCAGGGCCCCGGCGCCAGCCGTGGAGGACCCAGGGTCCTGGGCCTCCCTGTGCCAGGACTTGCCCCGGAGGCCCTGGCTCCCCACGTTCTTGGGCTGCCTGGGGCCCCTACTGGGACTCCAGTGGCGAGGGGACCGCGCTTCCAGGCTCCCCGGCCACTCCGTGTCACTGGCTGAGGGAAGGGGCGAGAGGTTTTTTCTCCGGCTCCGGTACCTCGAGGCCTGGAGGGAAAGGCTCAGGTCAGGCCCACTCCCCTGGCGGGGGGGGTGCTCCCAGCAGTGGACTTGACCCGCGGGGCCCTACGTCTCCCGCCCACCCTCCACCCCTCTAACCTTCTCTCAGCTCTCCCTGTCTCATCCCAGGGCACGGGCCGCCTGGCCAGGCATCCAACATGCCAGGCCTCCGCTCCCTCCGCCTGCAGTGCCGTTCGCCGGACGTGTCAGCACTGCAAACTCTCCTCCCCTCCCGGTCTCCACTCCAACTTTACCTCCCCAGAGCACCCTGATTAAAACTGCACCCCACCCAGCCAGCGCTTCTGACCCCCTCACCCTGCTGTCCTCCTTGCCCAGCACATCACCAGCTCCCACATCCCAGGGCTCAGCTGCCCGAGGCAGACTGAGCAGGTGAGACGTGGCCGGCCCGGGCCGCGAGGGCTGGGGTACGAAACACCACTGCACTGGAAAGGCTCCGTAGGAGAAAATAGCCTAGACTACCTTGTGACCGGCTCTTTTACACAAGCGGCGTGTTGAAATGGTAATGATTCAGGCTTATGGCGTTAAGTAAAATATGCTATTAAAATTAATGGTACCTGTCTCTTTTTACCTGGCTCTGATGAGGCCACTAAAAATGTTCACGTTATCCATGTAGCTCACACCTTCTTTCCCTGGGACTGTCACAGGTAATTACTGTTCTGTGCGCATGGTTCCCTGTCTGCCTTCCACACCAGAACGTCCCCCGCTGCCCCCGCTGTCCCCCTGCCGGCGCGTCGCCCGGCCCGCAGTGAAGGCTCACCGTCAGACCAGTGAGCGGCCGGAGGAGCGCGGCCAGAGCCGCGCGTGGGGCGGACACCCCACTCACCCTCTCCGCCGGCGTCTGCTTCGTGTTCCGCCAGGGTCTCGACAGAGCCGTCCCATCCCACTCCAGGGCCTGAGGGGGCACAAGGCAGCTGCTGAGCCACAGGGGCCAGGACAGAGGCAGGCAGGCTTGTGGGGAGACTCCGGGCACCACCCCTTCCCCCAAGGAGTCGGTGGGTGGCTCCACGGGGAGCTGGGGGCTCATGAGCGGGGCCCCCGTCCCTCACCCTTGCCAGAGGAGCCGAGCGGCCCCAGGGGGCGCCGTCGGAATCGTTGCCGGGGGGTGTCCCCGGGGCTAAAAGACTCAGAGCTTCGCCCCACCGGGAACCGGGAGCTGAGCTTCCGCCGCTGCGCGCCTGCCAGAGTCTCATCCCGCAGGCAGAGGGAGCTCTGGGCCCGGCGCATGGGTGCCGGTGAAGGGGACCCTGCAGGGGGCACAGGCAAGGGGGCATCAGAGCGGTGCGGGGGTGGGGGGTTTGGGGGGATGACGGGGCAGCGTGGGGGGCGGCGGGGTAAAGCTGCACAGGGGCAGGGCGGGGAGGCCGCAGGGGAGGGGCGGGGCCTGGGTGAACGCGGGGCGGGGCCTGGGTGAACGCGGGAGGGGGCCGGAGGCAGGACCCTGTGCTGACGCTGACACTAACTCACTCGGTGGCCTTGGGCGAGGCGCTGCCCCTCCCCGGGCCTCGGCTTCCTCGTCTGCTGACTGGAATGAATGACCTCTCACTAAAGCCCCCTGCCACTCCGAGGTCCCAGGCACCACTGTGGACGGGCAGGACGGGGTGGGTGGCGGCGCAGGCTGGAGGGAGGTGCCCGATGGCAGGGACGCAGCAGGGACACAGAGCAAAGCACTACGGGACCCGTCTGGGGTCAGCAGGGAAGGCCGTTGGGGAACATGTATGAGACACGCAGGAAGGAGGGGACCAGAGGCATTGGCGGGAGCCAGGGTGGGGGATAAAGGACATGGGGTAGGGACCAGCGCAGTCCCCTGCCCCAGACCCACCTGTCCCATCTGCCTCCCTGCCCTCGAAGAGCTCCGGCTCGGGGGGGCCCCCCAGGCTCTCGGTGCTGCCAGCCCCATCGACCCATGGGCGTGGCCCCCCATGGAGGCCCCCCTCCCGCCGGGGCCGCATCAGCCTCTTCACCTTGTCTGCCAGCCAGCTGCCCTTCCTGGGGGCAAGAGGGCACAAGAGGGGGTGAGGCCACAGAGGAAGAGGCCAAGAGGGTCGTGTTGGGGATGTGACGGCCAGGCAAACCCTCACTGGGCCCGGGCCTGAGCTGGGCCGGGGTCAGAGGGCAGGCAGGGTCGAGGTCGGAAGGACCCCGGCCTAGGGGGCGAAGGGGCCACTCACTTGGTCCGGGGCAGGGGCCCAGGCTCCAGCACGCGGTACTGGTCCATGATCTTCTCCACCAGCTTCTGCTTCTCTCGGCGCAGGGCATTGAGCTGGTCCCTGGGGGCATGGGGGAGGGGCGCAGGGGGCGGGAGTGAGCACGAAGCATGAGGCCCCGTGAGGCCCGGGCAGAAGCAAGGCTCGGGGTCCAGCAGGTACGGCCCTGCCAGGTGTGAGCACCCTGACACACTCCTGCGTGGGGTGACAAAGTGCCCCAGACCCCCAGGGTGTCTCCCGGCATCTCCCCCTGAGCAACCATAGGGCTCTGCAGGATCGGCTCCAGGTCCCCGCAGCCCGCTGCCCACCCCCAACCTGCTCACAGGTACTCGCGCTGCTCTCGGTGCAGGTGGTCCCGGCTCTCCAGGCTGCGCTCCAGGAGCTCCCGGTTCTCGCGGCTCAGGGCCTGCACCTCAGCCAGCAGCTGCCGGTTCTCCTCCTCCTGGGCGCTCCGCAGCTCTGTCAACAGCTGTTGGGGACAGGCGGCGGACCGGGTGGAAGTTCCAGGGGCTGAGGCTGGCTCCTCTCCACGCCGGCTCATGCCCGCCCTCCAGCACCCTCCGACCCCTACCTGCGGCCACTGCCCGCCCCTCCCCACACCTCGCACTGTGTGGTCAGCCGGCAGGCACTCAGGTCCAGCTGCTGGTTGGACTCCCGCAGCCGCTGGCTCTGCATCTCCAGCTGCGCCCGCTCCAGCTCCAGCCGCGCCAGCCGGCTCCGCAGCTCCCCGCGTTCACCCTGCAGCTCGCCCCGCTCCCGGGACACCTCTGCCAGCAGCTTCTGAGCCCTGTGGAGGCAGAAAGAGCTGCTCTCAGAGGGGACTTGCCCCCCCTCCCCCCGGGCTCCTCCTGAGGCCCAGAGGTGTGCTCGAGAGAGGCAAAGCAGGACCCCACAGGGACAGGGACTGAGTCACCGCCAACCCACTTCACAGAGGGAAGCACTGAGACCTGGCCCGAGAGGCTGGTACCTGTCGTGCTCGCTCTGGAGCCTCCGCAGCTCCTCCTCGAGGCCCCGCTGCCGATGCCCGTCCTGCATCAGGCGTTCGCGCTCTGCCAGCAGGGCCAACTCCTGCGCCTCCACGTTGGCCCTCTGGGCCTGCAGCTGCTCGTGCCTGCAATGGACAGGGGCTGAGAGGGCTGCGGGGACCCGGGGGCAGGGCGAGCAGGCAGCCGGACTGTCTTGAGCTGGGGGCCCGCCATCTCCTACGCATAGCCCCAGGCACAGCCACAGGGCAGCATGTTGCGCCAGGTGCTCACACAGGTGCCCAGAAAGGGCACAGCCATGGGGCTCCAGGTGGTGGCGTTTCCCCTCAGGGAGAGGGGGTGTTTGAGGGGGACGCACCTGCCCTGCAGCTCTCGGTGGGCGAGCTCCAGCGCCCGCATGTTGGCCTTGAGGTCTCGGTGCCGGGCCAGCAGCCCCTCCAGCTCGGCCTCCTGCCGCCGCTGCAGCTGGGCCAGGGACTCGTGGTCCCGCAGCAGGGACTGCTGCTGCCTGCGGGTCTCCTCCTGGGACTGCCGCGCCACCCGCACCTCCTCCTCCAGCACCCCCAGCTTCCTGTGCAGCTCCTGGCCCTGCACCTCCAGCACAGACTTCTCGGCCTAGGCCAGAGGAGGGAGCGTGCACCGCAGGCCAGAAAGACAGCAGGGCAGGGGAGGACAAGGAGAGAAAGCTGCAGAGGCGGCCCCGGGCTGGGGTGGGGGCAGCAGGGAGACGGAGGCAGAGGCTAACGGGCAAGCAGTGGGGAGAGGTGTCACGGCTGGTGCCAGGCCGTGGAGAGGGGTGCGGGAGGCACAAGGCAGGGATGGGACAGACGGGGCTGGGGTGGTGGGCAGAGCACTCGGAACTAATGGAACTGATGGCTGGCTGTGAAGAAGAGGGCTGGAGACCGGACTACACGGGCACAGGCACGGGGGCTGGAGGCAGGTAGACGGGGAAGTGGAGGTGGGCAGGGGTAGGAGGGAGGGATGCAGAACAAGGTGGCTGGGGTCAGGGCACAGACACGTGACTAGGGAACAGGGAGAGACAGCTGGCTGGGAGCTGAGGCAGGGAAAAGGGCCAGGACACAGCACAAAAGGGGCAGGGGGCAGTGGGCAGTGGGCGGGCATGGGATGGGGAATGGGCACCCAGCCGCCACCCACCTGCAGGCGACTGCTGTACTCCTGTGCCCGCTGGCTCTGCAGCAGCAGCTCCTGGGCCCGCCCCTGCAGGCTTCCCAGCTGCCCCTCCAGCAGCTGCAGCTGCCCCTGCAGAGCTGCCTTCTCGGCCACCAGCGTCGCATTCTGCTCAGCGGAGAGGGGAGTTAGCAGTGGCCAGGCCCCAGCCCTCCCAGCCCCCACGCCCACCACGGTCCGCCACTCACACTGCGCTCGACCTCGACGAGCCGCCCGCTCTGGGCCTCCACGACCCTCGGCTCCGAGTGTTCCTCAGGCCCCTGGCCCGCCGCCGCCGGTCCCTGGCGCAGCTGCAAGGAGAGGCCCTGAGAGGTCACGCAGGGGACTGGCAGTGCTTGGGGAGGGCACAGGGGCCTTGCAGAGGGGCGGCCCCTTGCGCCACAGCCCTGCACTCAGGCGTTCCGCCGCTCCCTCACTCCCTGCCCTGCCCCGCCCACCTTGCCCGCGGTTCTGCAGCACAGGCCTTGCCCCCCTGCTTCTCCTGCTCGTGCTGCTCTTCCGCTGGTCCCGGGTTCCAATGTCGCTTTCTCCAGAAAGCCTCCCCTGACCCACCCCACACACGCCAGCAAGGCAGCCTGCCGGGTGCCCCCGGCCCCAGACACCATGCGAGGGTCTCCTGTTCTGCCTGGTCTCCTGCCTCTGTCCCAGGTGGGCTGTGCGCTCCCTGAGCACAATGGCCTGGTGTCATCTCCACCACACCACAGCGTGGAGCCCACATGCCACAGGGACGTCAGAAACGACAACCGACTTATGACGGTGACAGTCATTGATCTCACTAGAAGGTGGGGGGTGGGGCGAGCAAGAAACACACAGTAGCCACCTCAGAGCACAGCCACCAGGTTCTGTTCGTTTGGGGAATGGGGAAACGAGGCCCCCAGAAGACCACCGGGCCTTGCGGAGCCAGCTTGACTCCCAGCGCAGTGCTCCTTCCAACGGGCCCCAGAACAGGGCACACGGCGAGCAGCTCCTGGCCAGGAGTCAAGTGCCAAGGCCGGGGGGGGGCCCTGGAGGTCAGGAGCCCAGGCAGCCTTGCTCTTCCGCGTGCAGGAGGGAGGGAGGGGCAGGACAAGGCCCGCGGCACCCGGGGCTGAAGCCTCGCCTGCAACAGCTCTTCTTCCAGCTGCAGGGCCCTCTTCTTGAGCTCCATCAGCGCCT